TGGGTTCCCTCTCTCGGCTGGAGCGGCGCTTTGGGGTCTGTGCGGCTGCCCGAGGCCCTCGACGGCCGCCTTCAGCGAGCGCATGCTGTGTCCGTCCCCAGGGAGGAAAGGCCGGCCTCCCAGCCTCCACTCGGGTCCCGACGGAGGAGGCCGGCTTGTGTCTGCCGGCCTTTTGCTAGGGCCTGTTCTGTGCTCCGGTGAGGGCCGGCGGTGAAGGGAATGCCCGACTCCTGCCGGTCCAACTGGGATTTTTTGTGCAAAGCATGGAGGGTACCTTGTGAACCGAACATGGCCCCTGACCTCTCAGGGGCTTGAGGCTGGTGGGGAGAACAGATGCTAAAGTGTCTCACTGAGAAATGTGAAATAGTGCGACCTAGGAGAGAGGCACCCGATGTTCCGAGTGCCTGAAAGAAGCCGGGGAGCTTCTCCGAGGAAGAGGTGCCTGAAGGGAGGGTTCTCCTGAGGCGGGTGAAGAGAGGAGGGCAGACTCTTCCCCGGAGAGAACAGCGTGTCCGGGGGCCTGGTGACCAGGGGAGGGGAATGAATAAAAAGCGCAGAGGCCAGCGTGGCCAGGAGGGAGGGAATGCGGGGCGGGTGCAGGGGAGCGTGGTACGGGATGAAGCTGGAGGCGGGTCGAGGGCAGGCCTGGCAGGACTTGGTAGCTTTTGCTGGAAGACCGATGAGGTTTTTGGTGGTGGTGGTGGTTTATTTTTGATGGGGAGCGGGGCGTGCGGTGGGGGGAGGCTCCATAGTGTGCACAGATGGAGGACGGATAGACACACTGTTGGGAATGAGGACTGAGGTGTTGGTGGAAACGCAGAGTTGCACGGATCCTAAAGGCGTATAGAGGAGGTGAAATCAGTAGGACTCGATGATGGCCTGGATTCAGGGAGGGAAAAGAGGACTTCAGTGTAACTCCGAGTTTTCTGGCTTATGGCAACTGGGTAGGTTTGTGTGTGTTTTTTTTGGCGAGGGGTAGGGAGAAATCATCCCTGACACCCAGGAGGCAGTTTGAAATATGGGTTTGGAACGCAGAAAAGAGATTTTTGTTGGAAATATAAATCTGAGAGTAATTGGTATTTGGCGGTGATTGAGCCATTGATGTGGGTAAGATCACCTAAGTCGGAACCTTTAGTCGTCGCGTTCACACTGCCAGGCACTAGAAATTCGAAGGGTATGCGAACGTGCAAGAATACTCAGAAGAATTTCATAATTTAAAAAGGGAAGAAAAAATGTTTGTAAACAGGGTTTGAATCTCATCAGCATCATTCATAGGCCTGTGATTTTGAGCAAGTTACTTAGCCTCTTTGTGTCTTAGTTTCTTCATCTTCTTGAATGTGTGAGCAGAGCCTTACTATGTGCTGGGCAGATCAGAAGATGGGAGACTTTCAAATGCCAACTAGTGGTCCAACCTCCCTCCTTCCCATCCAATTTCTAGAATAACTGTCTTAGAAGGACGCTACTTCTTTTTTGCGTTCTAGTTATGAATCTCTTGAGAAAACAGGTCAAACGCAGGAAAGAGAAAAAATAGCAAAAAGCAAAGTAAAACACAAAAAGTGAACTCAAAATATGAAAACTGAAAGAAATTATAGAGAGCATTTAGCCCATTACTCCTATTTAAACTGAAAACCAACCAACAGAGATTAAGTGACTTGATACAGGCTGGTCAGTTAGCCATGCGGGTACTCAAGGCCAGTACTTACTCTACTGCCTACAGGCCCTACACTGTTCTTTCAGTCAGTAATCCGGAAGGTCCCTTCCAACTCCTCTAATAGTAATTGCTAATATTTGAGTACTTCCTATTTGCCATGTGTTAACCCAAAAGCTTTACTTGTCTAAACCAATTTAATTCCCTTTTTGACCACCCTAGGAGATAGGCAACCTTTCTGTGCAGGGGATGGCGCCCAACCAATTGAGCCACACGGGCCAGGGCTGTGAATTCCTTTTGAGGCAGCGTAGAATAGTGGTTGAGAATGCAGGCTCTGTAGTCATTCTGCCTCTGCTCATAGCTCAGTATTTTTACTTAACTTCGTAAACATAGGTTAAAGATGAGTCATTCTTCTTTGCAGATTTCTTCCTCACCTAACATAGGCTTTGACCTCACTCTGGGCCGCCATTCCCCTGCTATACCCCCTACTCACACATTATTCTTCCTTTGCTTTCGGAAGGGAGTGCCCAGTAATCGGCTCCCTATTGCTTCCCTACATACTATTGTTGTTTAAAATATTCAAGTAAAATGAAGTACCTAAGGAAATTGCAAAGTAACTCCAAATGGTGTATCTCAATCCTTGTCAATTAATTTGCTCTTTTTTTTTTAAAGCAGAACCCCCCCCCCCCCAAAAAAAATTGAAATCTTACATAGAAGCTTAATAGATAAGCTGGATCAAAGCAAAATACACTGCTAAAATAGTTCCTCCTGCCCTAGCCAGTTTTGTTCAGTGGATAGAGCATCAGCCTGCAGACTGAAGGGTCCCAGGTTTGATTCCAGCCAAGGGTACGTGCCTGGGTTGTGGGCTTGATCCCCAGTGGGGGGTGTGCAGGAGGCAGCCCATCAATGATTCTCTCTCATCATTGATGTTTCTATCTCTCCCTCTCCCTTCCTCTCTGAAATCGATAAAAATATATTTTAAAAAAATAGTTCCTCCTCCTGTAACTTCCACTTCTCCTTGCTACCATGACCCACCCAAGGCTGGGAGGGCAAGTGGGAATCAGCAGTAATTTTTGAGGAGGGGCTCCTAGCTTTCCAAATGCTCTGAGTGGGACTTCCCTCAATTCTGGTTTCTTTGGGGTTCTGCTCCGTACATCTTTAATATAGAGGCTATCTTCCAGTTGGTTGGCCTAGAGTCCTACTTCTTTGGCTTTCTTGACACCTATGATCCCTAGATATTTTAGAATCGACTTTTTAAAAATAAACTTGACCCAGCTGGTATTGCTCAGTGGTTGAGCATTGACCCATGAACCAAGAGGTCGCTAATTCGATTCCCAGTCAGGGCACATGTCCAGGTTGCAGGCTCGATCCCTAGTAGGGGGCATCCAGGAGATAGCCAACCAGTGATGTTCCTATCTCTCTGTCCTTCTCCGTTCCTCTCTAAAATAAACTTGAAATACCTAAGGAGCTTCTGAATAAAACATCATAGGACCCTACATCTCTACAGAGCATAATATGAAAAAAATTTTAAACACCATTTTAAAAAATGGCAACCTTCTACTCTCCTGAATTGTAAACTTATATTTTTACATTTCAGACTTTCCCTCAAAAATGCTGCTAGTTTTCTAAAAGAATTGCATAGGATTTCTCAGGCTATTGTTCTACAGAAGGAGCAAACTGGAGAGCTTTAAACTTGGCTGTTCATATTGTTGTCACAGCAAAAATCAGCAAAGAAACAACTTCAGATTGTTTCCACTTACTTCTATTGCTCTTTCCACAACCTTTCTGTAGGGAGGAACAGGTGAGACTAAGATATTTGAGCTTAATTTAGATGTCCTACCTGCTGATGCCTCTATGGATTCTTTACCTCACTAATGCTATAGGAGTTGGAGGGATAATTAAGGTTTTTTGATAGAGCCATTGACCTCAGGTTAATTTCTGTTCTAGGATGTGATGTGAGGGATACTGGGCAGAGGGAAGGGAAGGACTAGAGTTGAGACTACATAGCTAGGAAGTGAAAGGAAGGATCCAACTAGGCTATGATACTTGGATTTAACCTGTTTATCAGCCATTTCTTAAGAACTGACAAATCTGCCTGCATTCTCTCTATGTGCTGTTAGTAAAGTAATAACCCTGGCCTGTGTTGCTCAGTGGTTAGTGTGTTGTCCTGGGCACCAAAGGGTAGTGGGTTTGATTCCTGGCCCCAGTCCGGGCGCGTGTAGGAGGTAACTAATCATTATGTTTCTCATGTTGATGTTTCTGTCTCTCTCTCTCTTTCTCTCTCTCTCTCTCCCTCTCTCTCCCTCCCTCTCTTCCCCCTCCCCTCCCCTCCCCTCTCTACTTCCTGTCCTCCTTCCCTCCTCCCTCCCTTTCACTTTCTCCCTAAAGATCAATGGAAAAAATATCCTCAAGTGAGGATTGAAAATAAATAAATAAATAAGATGTGTGTGTATGTATGTAAGAATTGCTAAAATATATTAAAACTAGAGACCCGGTGCATGAATTAGTGCATGGGTGGGGTCAGTCGACCTGGCCAGTGATCGGGGGGCCGGCTGGAGGGGGGGATACCGTGGGAGGTTGGCTGTGGGAGTGCACTGACCACCAGGGGGCAATCTACCTACCTACCTACTAGTGTGTGTGTGTGTGTGTGTGTGTGTGTGTGTGTGTGTATATGCTGTTAATAATGATTTCATGATTCCATTTAAAAAAACACTGTACATATACAAAAGTCTAAAAGGATATAAACCCATTGAATAATAAATGATTTTATTTTCTTCATTATTAATGTATTGTCTGAACTTTAATTAATTAATATTTTTAAAATATATTTTTATTGGTTTCAGAGAGGAAGAAAGTGGGAGAGACAGAAAAACCAATGATGAGAGAGAATAATTGATTGGCTGCCTCCTACACGTCCCCTATTTGGGAATTGAACTGGCAACCTGGGCATGTGCCTTGGCTGGGAATGGCACCCTGACCTCCTGGTTCATAGGTTGAAGCTCAACCACTGAGCCACACTGGCTGGGCGTATTGTGTGAACTTTTAAAATGAACTTGTGTGTTTTCAATTTATCAGGAGAAAAGTAAGCATAGTGGTTAAAAGCGTGGACTCTGGTGTCAGCCAGATTTTGACTCTACCATTTCTTGGCTTTTTGACATAGGCATAGTAATTGGACCTCCAGAATCCTTGGTTTTCTCATCTATATACTATGATAATAATAGAACCTATATCTTGAGACTTTTGAGGGTTAAATGAGATATTGGATGTCCAGTGTTGAGCATAGTGCCTGGACATAGTAAGTGCTTGATAAATGTTAGCTCTTATTACTATTACTGTTCCCTTTCTTTTAAAGATCCACTTACCCCCCACCCCCCAAAACCTTCCCTTGGCAAAAGAATACCAACGATAGCAATTAAAAAACAAGAAACAAAGCAGCAGAGTGATGGCCTTGGGTAAGTATCACAATGAAAAGAAATAAGATCAATGTTCCCAAAACTCCCCATAATTAAAGTAGACAAAAGAGGTTTGGATAGAAGTACATGGTGTTAAATCTGTGTTATTATTCTGTAGAGAATAGCTGTGGATTGTCTGTACTTCTTTAATGCAGATGTCTTTCAAATTGTTGTCTATATTATTTCTTTGTGACAGTACACTTGAATTAGCTTTAGCAGAAGAGATATGGAGGAGCCATAGAACATTAAGGATGAATTCAGGAAGACCCGAGACCATGGAGAACTTGCCTGCTCTCTACACTATTTTCCAAGGAGAGGTATATTATTTGGGCTTTGAAAACTTACCATTTATGTTAAGCATAGATTGAGGGTGAAAAGCAGCTGCGTTTGGAGCTCCTGTCATTTGAGAATATCTTGAGCATTACAGTTTAAACGGGAAGGGCTAGTGGAGCATCTGGCCATCACCTGTACCCCTTCTAAGCTCCAGACTTCCAGCTGCATACTTGACATCATCTTTTGGATATCTCACAGCATCTCTGACTTACGTCTTATTTATTTATTTATTTTAATATGTTTCATTGATTTTTTTAGAGAGAGAGGTGGGAGAGGGATAGATAGAAACATTGATGAGATGAGAGAGAAACATCGTTGATCAGCTGTCTCATACATGCTCCCTACTGGAGATCAAGCATGCAACCCGGGCATGTGCCCTGACCCGGAATTAAACCAGTAACCTCTTGTTTCCTGGGTCAGTGCTCAAGTACTGAGCCATACCAGCTGGGCTGATTTATGTTTTGAAAAGTATTTTTAATTTTCTCACAAAATCTATTCTGGTCTTTCCCATATCAGCAGATGGAACCACTGTCTATTCATCTACCCACACTGGAAATCTGGGCATTATCCTTGATTTTTCCTCTTAATTTGATTTTGATTTTCCCTTCCGCTCCAGTCCATTAGTCCTATAATTTCTTCCTCTCAGATATATCTCTGGTCTTTGTACTTCTTTATCGTGGCAACCCATTAGTTCAAGCTCTCCATCTCTTCCCTGGCCCTTACTGGGATCTTTACTTCTATTGTAGCCTCTTTCCAATCTGTTCTTTACATCATAGCCAGAATAGCATTTTAAAAGCAGATTGGACCATGCTGCTTTCTCACAGCTTTTCTAGGTTTCTCATTACACTGAATACATTCAAACTTGTTTTTGTGACCCTTATATGACTTAACTTCTATCTAATCTGACAGTGTTGTTTTGTCTACTTATCCCCCAGCCACTCTGTTGCTCTTACAGCTCTGAATATTATAAGCTTGCTTCTTTCTCTGGACTTTTGCATATACCGTTGCTTCTAACTCCACTTTCCCCACCAACTTCTCTCTATTTTTTAGGTCTTAGACTTAATGTCATTTCCATAGAGATCTTTTTCCACTATAAGTACACAGACTCATCCTGCATTTATTTGTGTACTTGTTTAATGTCTTTCTTCCTCACATGATACTAAGCTCCATGAGGGCAGAGCCCTGTCTGTTTTGTTCAGTGTTGTCTGTCTTAATCCCAGATTGTATTTGTTTTCAGAGTAGAGGCTTTTGAACAGGACAAAGCCTGGATTCCAGTCCTAGTTCTTTTATTTACTACTGGAGGCCCGGTGCATGAAATTTGTGCACCAGAGGGGGGGCGGGGGGAAGTCCCTCAGCCCGGCCTGCGCCCTAAGCCGACAGTTGGACATCCTTAGCGCTGCCACAGAGGCAGGAGAGGCTCCCACCACCACAGCTGCGCTCGCCAGCCGTGAGTCCGGCTTTTGGCTCACTGACCACCAGGCGCACTGACCACCAGGGAGCAGCTCCTGCGTTGAGCATCTGCCCCCTGGTGGTCAGTGTGCGTCATAGTGACCGGTCGTGCTGCTGTTTGGTTGATTTGCATATTGGCCTTTTATTATATAGCATAGGATAGGATGTCATCCTTGGAACCATCACTTGATCACTTGAACCTCAGATTTCTTATTTATTAAATTGAGAGAACAACTTCATGGAATTGCCATGATGGTTAAATAAGCTGTCATCTAAAACACAATGCCTAAGACATGGCAGAAATTCATTATCATTATCTCCCTTCTCTTGAAGCAAAAATAAAGGCAAAAAATTGTTTTCAGTGACTTATGAGTGCCTGGAGTATTTCAACTATATAATTTTTATGGCATTTATACTTGCTTTGTGGTTGATAAAAGTCTTACCTCCTCATAATGTTAGGCCTTTGAAGACACACTTTGTGACTTTCAGTTGATTATAGATAATTGTGTCTCTTGGTTTTTGTTAAGTTTATCCCAACCTGTAATATAACAGTCAAGATATAAAGGGTGATAAATTTTAAAAAATAGCAAACAACTTTGCTGTTAGAGCCTTTGACCTTTAAGACCCATAGTACCCAGGGTTGGAGAGGGCAATGAGGGAAAAAAGGGACATATGTAATACTTTCAACAATAAATATTTATTAAAAAAATAAAATAAAATAAACCCCATAGTACCCCTAAAGGTCAAGTTACCAGGACTCAGGAAAAGGAAGTGGTAGCATTGGAGATGAAATTGATTTTTCTGACAAGCCTTGACTTGTCAGGTGTTGCACAGAAGAAAGAGAAGAGTTCTCTGCCCTCCACAGACTGACTCAGATTTTTAGTAAAGTGGCTCCTCATCTTCAGCTTTTTCTTATATGAGCTGGGGCTTGTATTAGTGTAGGTTTTATATTTTACTATCAGGATGGATGGGCTAGAGCAGCGGTCGCCAACGTTTTGAACCTCACCGACTACCCGTGGTCCGCAGACCACCAGTTGGTGACCACTGGGCTAGAGTAATGTTCAGAGAGAACTTTACAGTTCTAGCTTAGAATTTCAGGAGCACATTTTGAAAATTGATGGTTTAGAAGTAACTGGAATTAAGGATAGAGAAATTTCATGATAAATTGGAAATAAGAAACTTTTTCAGAATATTCATCCAACAAATATTTTAATGAGTGCCTAATATTTACAAAGAAGACCTGGTTACATTAAAATTCAAAAACATTTTTGTAAGCTTAATGTAAATCAGCACTTTCACACATTCTGTCATTCACGTTCTCCCAAGAAATTGTTGATCCCATTTTATGGCCTAGGAAACCCTTCTCAGAAGTTAAGTAGTGTTCAGATGGTTAACAAGTGGCAAAGCTGGGATCCTAAAGTTCTCTCTCCGAGTCTGCTTTCTGCTACTCTGCAGTTGGGACTGTACATAAGTGCATGGAGGAACTGAAAGACCCATAAGAGAACTCTTGACTGAATTGAGGTATAGGAGGAAGGTAAATGGTAAATCTGGTTGTTCCATGGTCATTTGTTTGTACCTCTATTATGGTGTTAAATATAGTCTGTCTTGTGTTGTTTTTACTTGTACATGTATATGTCTCCTTCACTGGATTTTGAATTAGTGGAGAGCAGAGGCCATGGCTGTCTCATGTATCTTGGCAACTACTTCAAATTCATTTTAAAACAGGCTAGGCATTCCTTTTTTAAAGTTGTTTTTATTTTAAAGTACCCTACATGGCCTCCTGCATATAGGTGCTCAGTAAATGTTTGATTTAAAGTAATCCCAAGTTTCTTAGGTCCTATTGTTGAAGAAACTGGTGGTGCAGCCCCTTTCCCAGAAGTTCTCTTCAGTAGGCTGAGCAGGACTGAGGGGCCCAGTGATCAAATAGCTGAGAAGCCAGTATTCATCCTTTTCTTGTCCATTAAGTATGATAGGGGATACAAGCATAGCAGTGGGAATTGGGGTTTGGCTTAGCCTAGCTATAGTTAAAGAAATACTGAGGGCGGGGGGAGCTCCTTCTAGAGCTTGCATGCACACATCTTACCTCTTCCTCTTCCCTCAAGAACCACACTGCTCTCTCTCTCTCCTAAGCTCCAAGGGCTCTTTTTGCCTCTCTCTTGTTCCTGAGCCCACACAGCCCAGCTGGCTCACCTTTTCTACCTCTGTGACTTTCTAAATAAACTTTCCTTGTATTTGAAAAACAAAAATGCTGAGGGAGATTGGTGTTAGTAAGGTGGACTAGAAGTTAAAATACTTCTGTTCTCTACCTGGTCATACTACTTTCTAATTTTGTGAGTTTGCACAAGTAACAGTGTCTCTAAGCTTAAATTCCTCATTTACATGATAGAGATAACTAGTTTCAAGGCCAATGCAACCTCTAATCTGAAGATGATAAATTCATTAACCCAAGTCCTGAGTTTAGTTGAGATAATTACCCCCCCCCCCCCCCCCCCCCCGTGCTATTTGACTAATTATTCTGGGACACCAGAGCAGACTGTGTGATCATTTACAGTAGGTGCCATTCTGATAATTTCAACTCTGCATCCTAGGAGACACAGTGATGAAACACCTGGTGCTGGAAATAGGCATGAATGCCTTTTCCTAACTGAACAGTTGAGTGCATCAATTCTGGAGCACATTAACCTTCCCTTTTGGGAGAGGCCAAATTAAGGTCTGTTATAATATTTCTTCAGAAGATCATAATATGACACTGGAGCTTCAGGACTGAAAAGTGAAATTGTCTTAATTAACAACAGCAAGGTGATTTGGGTTCCAACTTCCAGATGCTACTTTTAAGTTTGTTGGAGTGTTGTGCCCTTTTAATAATGTTACACAATATGAGACATCTTAGCTCTCTTTCTAGAACTTGGAGCAAAAGCTCAAGTGCCTTTGGTTGGTTCAGAAAGAAGGGGGTTGCTTTTATTGTAATTAAAATTTAAAGTCACCTTTTTTATCCACATGGTCCTGTTTTATAGATGACCATGTGAACTTAGGTAAGCACTTCATGTCTCTGATCTTCACTCTTCTCATTTGAAAAATGATGGGATTGAACTAGCTAATCTCTAAGATCCTTCCTCTAGTTCAGGGGTGGGCAAACTTTTTGACTCGAGGGCCACAATGGGTTCTTAAACTGGACCGGAGGGCCGGAACAAAAGCATGGATGGAGTGTTTGTGTGAACTAATATAAATTCAAAGTAAACATCATTACATAAAAGGGTACGGTCTTTTTTTTTTTAGTTTTATTCATTTCAAACGGGCCGGATCTGGCCCGAGGGCCGTAGTTTGCCCACGGCTGCTCTAGTTCCACCTTGTTTTGATTTTAAATGCTAGTACCTGCCTGATTGTACTGTTTTCTTGGGGGGACTGTCTGGTTCCTACCCCAGCATAGCATGTTCATCAGTGTAAAACAGGAGTTTCGGACATTTGGTTCTTAACCCATTCTTTTAGTTAAAAAAATGTTTTTATTGATTTTAGAGAGAGAGAAAGGGAGAGAGAG